CTCATTCTCCTCACTATAATCCACAGCATACATAGCAGCAAGGATAGCATCAAAATCAAGATCAAAGATCGCTACACCAGCCCTTAGAAGTTCATCCCAGCGAGGGATCTCACTAGCCCCAGGGAACTGCTGACGCCAAGCGTCCGTCAGGCGGCCAAAGCAGCGCTGGGTGGCGTGGGCACCCCCACACTGCTCACCCGCGCGGTCGCCGGAACGAAAAACGTAGGTGCAGGGACCAGTACCCCCACCCCTCTGACGCCCAGCGTACCACTCACGAAGCTGCTGAGGCGGAGGGATGTCCCGCGAGCGCTGCTGCTGCTGCCGCTGCGAGCGCTGGCCACCACCACCGCCGCTACGCTGCTGGGTACCACCTCGACCAGCTCCACCTCCTCCACCACCACCGCCTCCTCCGCTGCCGCCTCCACCGCCTCCACCTCCGCCGCCTCCACCTCCGCCGCTGCCTCCACCACCACCGCTGGCACCACCACCACCGTCTCCGCCGCTGCTGCCACCACCACCACCACCCCCGCCACTAGTCCCGCCGCCACCCCCACTCCCTCCGCCGCCACCGCCGCCACCGCCACCGCCCCCTCCAGCTCCACCCGCGCCCTTGCCCCCCTTGCGCTTGCTGGAGCGACGTCTCCCACTAGGGGTAGACGCCGCGCCGACCGACTCAAGACCAAGCAGGTCGGCAGCAGCAGCAGAGGCAACAGAGGGCAGCAAGGGGGAAGGAGAGCACCCCTCAAAGATGGGGGTGCGAGGGTCACCACGAGAAGCACCTACAGCGACTATGCTCTTCTCCGCTGCGAGGAGGGCCTTCTCGAGGAGGTCGACGGTGAGGGTGGTGGGACAGACTGCGAGAAAGTGGTCCCTGACGACGCGAAGGGAGTCAGGGAGGCGCGCGACTACGTAGTAGAGAGCGATGTACATGGGGGGTGGGTTCTTAGCGCAGAACTCAGCAGGAAGGGCGGCGCGGTAGCGAGTGTCACTAGTGCGGAGGTGCGTAATGAGGTCAGCAACAGTGGGAAAGGCAGAGAGGTCAGGAAAGAGGTAGGGAAGCATGAGACGGCTCAGTGCAGCAGTGGCAGGGGAGGAGTAGCGCGCAACTACAGCGTCGTACAAGGTCTGAGCACTCTTGTACTGACTAAAGTGCGCACGCTCAGAGGTAGGGAGGTGGCGACGCACAGCAAGACGTGCAGCAGCATCGCGGGTGGCCCACTGAGAGCGGACATTGGGAACAGCATCAGCAGCAGGAGCAGGAGAGGCGCCAGAGGTGAGGTCAAAGAGAGAAAGGTCGTGAGCCCTGTCGCACTGTAAGAACAGCTGCAGGTCGTCTAACCAGACCTCAAAATCAATGGCGCGACCCTCAGCGTCAAAAGCTAGGACACTAGGGGTAGCCATGGCGACGACAGCGACGCAGTGCAAGCAGTAGGGAAAGAGCTCGCAGTGTCAGTGGGACTGTGCTCACCAGGCAGGGCAGGTCGTGCAGCTCTGCAGAAAGGCGGCTCAGCGACCGGGCGGCTCGGGTGCACAGCGGCTCGGCTCGCGGGCGGCTCGGCGGCTGGGCGGCTCGGGCGCAGGGCGGCTCGGCTCCCGGGCGGCTCGGCGGCAGGGCGGCTCGGGTGCAGGGCGGCTCGGCTCCCGGGCGGCTCGGCGGCAGGGCGGCTCGGGTCCCGGGCGGCTCGGCGTTGGGCGGCTCGGCTCCCGGGCGGTTCGGCTGCTGGGGCGGCTCTGCTGCTGGGGCGGCTCGGCCGGGAGATGCAGGGGCGGGGCCGTCAGGTACAGCGGCGGGTCGACCGGTGCAGCGGCGGGCCGGCAGGTGCAGCGGCGGGGCCGTAGGGTGCAGCGGCGGGCCGACCAGGTGGGGCGGCGGGCCGTAGGGTGCAGCGGCGGGCCGGCAGGTGCAGCGGCGGGGCCGTCAGGTGAAGCGGCGGGCCGCTGGGTGCAGCGGCGGGCCGGCAGGTGCAGCGGCGGGCCGGCAGGTGCAGCGGCGGGGCCGTCAGGTGAGGCGGCGGGCCGTAGGGTGCAGCGGCGGAGCCGGCGGTGGGGCCGCGTCAGTGGAGGCGGCGGGGCCGCGTCAAGCAGGCGGCGGGGCCGCGACGAAGCGGGCGGCAGGGCCGCGTCAGAGCCGGCGGCGGGGCCGCGTCAGTGGAGGCGGCGGGGCCGCGTCAAGCAGGCGGCGGGGCCGCGACGAAGAGGGCGGCAGGGCCGCGTCAGAGGCGGCGGCGGGGCCGCGCCAAGCAGGCGGCGGGGCCGCGATCAGGAGGGGTGGCGGGGCCGCGTCTGAGGGACAGCGGGGCCGCGAGGGAAATGGCGACCCGAGGGGTCGCTAAAAAAAAGGCGCGCCTCGGGGCGCGCTTCGGTGGGCCCTAAAAAAACGGTCCTAAGGAAGGACCCGCTCTATACCATGTGAAACAAGTGAACAGGAATGAGAAATGACTAAGTCAGAGTTGGGTACAAATACAACCCTAGAAAGCTGTACCCCATATGTGCTACCCCACTATAGCCTACAAACATGCATCAGCTATAATACTCTGACAGTATGAAGACTCTGATTATACAAAGCTCATACAGATTAAAGCTTACGCAAAAAAAGGGGGGGCCCTGTTGGCCGTTAGCTGTTGATGTGCTATTGAACCGTTATTTATTTGATATGATGCTTTGTATACGTACATATGATGAGTTCGACATGATAATTTTACACTCGACTATCAATCTCTACACTAGGCTTACCTACTATATGCCGTCACAAATTTATGGACCAACTCTTGATTATATGGACCAACTCTTTCTTAGACAAACTACATTGTAGATGCTACCTTAGATTTGCAGGATGCAAAATATTCACTCCTAAACCCTCCTGTTGAGGATGCCTAGGCGCCGGTTTGCTTCTTTCACAGAATTCACCACCTTTTCGGTGTCCGAGGAGCACTTATCGAGAGTTTCGACTTGCCTGGTGGGGAAGGGTGCAGAGGGGATGCATGGAAAATGAACAAGGTTGTGCATCGATGATGGAAAAAACAGATGGCAAAGTTGCTTGCCAGTTGCGAACCACAAAGCCATTCATTGCATGTACTACCCAAAACCATTCCTTGGAAGGCGCGGGTCAACACTTTAAACAGCGCAAATGAGGAGAAAATGTGGCTAGGTGCATACCCGTCAATCTTGCTCCCCATTTGGTCGGCCATTGACCTTAGTGTGGTGAGAGAAGCACTAACTTGATCGAGAACTTTATCCTGGTAGAGCTGTTCTGCCTGTATCCCAATGAAAGAGAAAGGGGAAAATCAAGAGAGATATTATACGGGTTGTCACCGTAGATGAATGCTACGACCAGAGCTGTCACACCAAGGTAAGCTTTCAAATAACAAAAAAAAAGAGAAAGAAATAAATAACTCGCTAACCTTGACAGCTCCAAGTGGGGTCAGCCCATCCCTCATGGGCCTTGGCGCGGATAGAATGCAATCACCTTCAGCCACGGAACCTCCGCTTAGGGTTTGCTCTTTCCCTGGCCTCTTGCTTAACCCGAGAGCGGAGCGGTTGGCTGTTTCAGAAACGTGGCATGCTCTCTTGTCAACACGGTCGACGGGGTCAGATGGAGCAATTCTGCCAACAACGCTCGCTTGAGAGGAGCTAGGCCCCTTGATCCTTTTCCCATGTGTGAACCTCCAGCATAGCTTCTTCATTCCACCAAGCTTTGCAATTAGCGTTTCAGACTGCAAAAAAAGAAGAAAGATAGTATAGAAAAGGACACAGAAAGAGAGCGAGATTACAAAGGTTTGTGTGCGACACCAGCATGGGGAAACCAATGTTTTCCTTATTCAGTGAATATTTATGATTTGTTTTGAAGTAAAACTTCAGCATTGTAACAATTTTTCAAAATTCTTGGCTCACCTTTTCCATTTCCTGATCGGCCACAAGAGCTTTCTCGTGGATGCGTTGAATCTGGGCGTCCTGAATCGCCAAGGTCTCTAGGGTCGCTCCAGCCACGCTTTTAGTCGTCTCTGCAATCCTCAGCAGCCCTTCTGTCGCTGATGTGAGCGCGTCGCTTTTCTCCAAAGCCTCAGTTTCTAGGTCTTGGGTGGACGCATTCTGAAATATATCCCTTTCTGTCTCAGCTGACCCGTTATAAGAGCTAGCTCCGTTGAAGTGCTGACAAGAGCCTTCTCGACGTCCTTTCTCTGTTCCCTTGATCGGTGTGTGCTGCTTCAGACCTACGTTTCCTTTTCTTTGAGAGACTGGAACCCAGCGAGTTGAGGTGAACCCGTCGTCACCATCGTCTTCCACAACAAACCTGCGATTAAATCCGCCCATGGTCGTATTTCACAAAACCCAGAACAATAAACTGCAGCAGATCGGGAAATTGCACAGCAGTAATGGATGAATGATTGAAGCGTTTCTGGTATTGAGCCAAGCCAGTGAGGAAGTTGTAATGACAGTGACTGTCTGTCGGTTTGGTATTTGTTCAGTGTTGGCATCAGGGCACGCACTCCCCACCACCACCACACCACACCGCCAGGAAAAATGTTGGAAGGAGCGGATTAGAAATTGCGTGCGGGGCAGGATTCTGCCATTTCGCATTGCGTGCGAGACTCCGTTGACCCCAACGTTCGACTCGATAAATATCGAGCCGCGCGCGTCGTGGGAGAGGATTTTGTGCTGGGTTTGGTGCAACACGCCATCCCATTCTTCGCGGTCGTTACGAGTCTCGTTCGCGATGTAATATCATTCACCAGTTTTTGCGAACTGTAACGGTAACCACGATGTGAGATCCAAAAAGAGGTTTAGCCAAACAACTTTATTTTTCTCAAATAAGCCCACCCATAACCAGGACTTAGTGTGCCTTGTTCTTTCTAGTTGAAGGCTAAGCTGGCACGCTTGGCTCTAGATAGATAAGGATGTAAGGTCAAAATTGGTCAAAGCAACAGACCTATATGTAAGTAGCAATAACGATTCTACATACCATGATTGCTCCCCGACAACGCCTGAACCCCCATGACGTATTAAGACAAACCAATGATATTGCCAGTAGCCGTGTCAATATCAATGTCGTAGAAGCAAGGCCTGGTTGGCAAGCCAGGCATGGTGCTCATGGTGCCCACAAGAGGGAAAATGAAGCCCGCTCCAACGCTCGCCCTCACATCCCGGATGGGGAGGATGAAGCCGGACGGGGCTCCCTTGAGAGAAGCATCATGGGAGAAGGAGTACTGTGTCTTGGCCATGCATATGGGAAGATTAGCAAACCCTTGCTTTGTGTACTGCTCAATCTTCGCCTCCGCCTGGGAAGAGAAGGGGTGGATGGGGCAGAAAGAACAGGAATGTGGTGTCCTGCCTTGCGCATTCAAATGGCTTCTCACTGTGCCTTATAACACCAGAGGCAAACCCTTGTCAGGCATGAAATATGCTTATGTACAACCATGTGTGTACACATGCTCACTCAAGAAAAGATGGGAAGACATACACGCACACAAACACTCATCTGTGAAACTTCACTTCGCAGGCAACACATACATCCTCACGCAGACGAGCTTACAACACAAGCTAGTACACATGAGCTCAACGCCTCTTACCTCAGGCAAGTACTCCACTCCCGCAGCGCCGTAAGAGACAGTGGCGATGGTCTCAATCTTCTCCTTGATGCTGCGATCCAAATCATACAGGAACTTGTACCCACTCTCCCCTCCCGCCTCCTTCTCCGCCACGTCACTGCACGCCTTCACCACTGATGCACCCAGTGCTGCCTGCAGACGGCAACAGGGGATGGCATGGAAACAAAGGATCGTGATGGCAGCAGGAAATGGCGATGGCAGCAGGAGATGGCGGTGCCACTGAGTGAGTCGGAAGAGTTCAAACATGGCAGGGCAAGAAATGGCAAAAAAAAGACAGGAAGAGGAGTTAATCAATAGCACAGGAACAAAAAGCACGGCTTCTTACCGCTCCTGCCCCTCCATGAGCGAAGTGCGAGCACACCACAGCATCCACTGCGCCTGCTGCCATCGCAGCCTTCTGAACCTCCGCAATCTCAGCCTCAGTATCCGCAGCAAACCGGTTGATGGCCACCACCACGGCAACCCCATACCGCCGGGTGTTCTCAATGTGGCGGACCAGGTTGGAGCAGCCCTGCGCCACCAGCTCCACGTTCTCTGACGTGTATGCGTGGTCCAGGGGCTTCCCTGCCACCACTGCTGGCCCCCCTCCGTGCATCTTGAGAGCACGGACTGTCGCCACTATCACTGCACAGTGGGGGCGCAGCCCGCTGTACCTGCTCGGGGTAAGAGATTATTTGGGGAAAGGGTTGCTTCAGAGTTGACCCTGGGAAAAGGATGCTTTGGGGAAAATTGACTAAAAGAAACCGAGTGATGTGGGGGAATGGACAGAGGGAGCATGTTGTCTGGTACAGGCGTTACACATTCCATTGCATTGAGGCACCTCTAAACCTGATGCTCGCCTGACAAGTGTCAGTAAGCTCTCTTGCAGCTACCCCTTGTCTTATGCTCCCCTCCTCACGCGGCCCCCTTAGCTCACCTGCACTTGATGTTGAAAAACTTCTCTGCGCCAATGTCCGCCCCGAAGCCAGCCTCAGTGCACACGACGCCCCCCTCCCCCACAAGCTTGAGGGCGATCTGGTCCGCGATGATGGACGAGTTGCCGTGCGCTATGTTGGCGAACGGCCCCGCGTGCACCAGCACGGGCGTGCCCTCCAGCGTCTGCATCAGCGTGGGGCGAATGGCGTCCTGGAGAGGAGGGGAGGGAAGAGGAGGGGACGGGAGAGGAGGGGAGGGGAAGGAAGGGATGGAATGTGAGGGAATGGGATAAAAGGGGGAAGCGAAGAGTGGGAGGGAGGCCCCCGCGTGCACCAGCACGGGCGTGCCCTCCAGCGTCTGCATCAGCGTCGAGCGAATGGCGTCCTGAAATGGAGGGAGGAGGAGGGAGGGAATGTGAGGGGATGGAAGGGAAAGGGGAGGCGAAGAATGGGAAGGAAGTCCCAGCGTGCACCAGCACGGGCGTGCCCTCCAGCGTCTGCATCAGCGTGGGGCGAACGGCGTTCTGGAGAGGAGGGGAGGGATGGACGGGGAGAGCGAAGCGAAGGTAGACAGTAACGAAGGAGGGGGGTGGAAGGAGGGAGGGGTGCGAAGAGCAGCACAACAAAGAGCAGCACAATGCATGGGCAACGGGAGGATACTCATTGAAAAAGCATGGAACGCGAAACCCCATGCACGTACAGGAAGGGCCTCACAACGCAAAACAGTCAAACCTCACCACCAGACAACCAAAACACCCCTTGCTCGCTTACCTTCATAATAACCGTCAGCGCGCCACCAATCCCCAAGTCATCAGCAGTGACCGCGTCGCCCGCGCGGCTGGTGCCGATGACCATGCGGCCGAGCCTCTCGCGGAGGTCGTCGAGCGACGTGGTGAGGGCGAGCACGGCCATGATCTCGCTCGCCACGCTGATGTCGAACCCCGTCTGGCGAGTCAACCCGCGCTCCTCTGGCCCCTGCCCGATGGTGATCCCCCGCATGAACCTGCGCCGTATGGGAGACGGAAGTGGGCTAGTTGTTGGTAACGTTGCATCGGATCAACACAGGTGGGTCATTGGCTGCTCGTGCTTTCCAGTCAGTATCCTTGAAAATAACAGCCACTGCTAGCCGCGACCCACTCTGGTGGGACCATCACTCTTCGTAGTTCTCAGAACCCATAGAAACAGAACACTTGCGAGACTTCTGCTAGTCCCAAGCCACCCACGGACATCCATCACTGCCACCTTCCACGTCCCCGTCACGCATGCGAGAACATCCACGTCACGCACAAGCTGACAGACACCATCACGCTCCCATACTTGACATCCACCACCCACCGCACCCACCCTTCACATCCATGCCCTGGCGCACCTATCATTGATGTCCATCACGCGGCGCCACGTGATCTTCTCCGGGTCAATATCCAGCCTCACAAACCGCCGCACCTCGTCCTCCGTCAGCTCCGCGGGGTCGCTCTTATCAATCCCCAGCTTCTTCAGCCGCCGGAACATGACCGGCGAGAACCGCCGCTTGCCCTCCTTGTCCGCGGGGCACAGCCGGTTCAGCAGCCCCTTGTCGGACTGAGCGGCTTCGTGGAAGATTCGAGTGTCGATGGCGGCGGCGAGGAGGTTGTTGGCTGCGGTGATGGCGTGGATGTCGCCGGTGAGATGCAGGTTGAAGTCCTCCATTGGAATCACCTGGGATGGTGCGGCAAGATTGGTGGAGTCTCACAGCTTTATTGCGAGCGAGATGAACTTAGAGACAGTTTTGAGAACTTGCATGTTCCATTCATTGTCGTCAAACATGCAAGATGCTTGTCAATCTTTGTTGAATTTTGCAAAAATAACATGTCCATTTCAGTCAAATACTCTGCTCACCTGACTGTATCCTCCTCCAGCCGCTCCTCCCTTGATGCCGAAGGTGGGTCCCATGCTGGGCTGACGGATGCATGCAATACACTGCACGGATGAGGCAATCGGGCCGAATGGAGAGAGGTTAAGATCGTTCTGGAGCCAGGTCCTTGGAGCCCACGAAAAAATATTGTTTCGACTCTTCTCTTCGTTCATGTTTTTCTACACAACAGAAAATGATTGTTTCCATGTCGAATCTGACGATCAAGAATCCGTGCTTAATCTGTCAGTCACCAAACGAGCTAGTCTGTCACTCACCGACTTGTCTAGATGGGCTCCAAGGGCCTGTGCGAGCCCGATGGTGGTGGTGGATTTGCCCTCTCCGAGCGGAGTTGGAGAAATTCCGGCGACCAGCACATAATATCCAGACTTTGAGTCCTTCAACCGGTCCTTCACGGACAAGCAAACCTGAAATTTATCGACATTGAGATGAACAATAAGGAGGTGAATGATAAGTGGACAGAGAACAGGTTGCGATGTGGACAGAATTACGGAACGCAGCTCTTGAAAGAAAGAGGTTGGTATCTTGTATATTGGTATGTTCCTTGCCTTGGCTTTGACATTCCCGTAGAGCTCGTACTCAGACGGTTGCAGACCGACCGCCTTGGCAATCTCAACTATCGGCCGCGGCTCCACTGACTGGGCGATAACAATGTCAGCAGGCACAGGGTCTTGCACTTGCAACTTGCGAGCAGTTGCAGTGGTCGCCATTGGAAACAAATTCTTCACCTATAGCTAATGCCTCGCCTTCGCAAGGAACCCCGAACGATTATTCTCTTGTCCAAGATGCAGGCTTAGAAGCTCGGATGCAAAATGCTACTGCGGATTTGCGTCAGTGAACTGGTAAGTCTCAAGTGCCAGGATCAGCCTAAATGGTTCCGGAATCCAGAAAGCTGGAAGTGAGAGGGACTGCTTGTTGATGAGTGATCACTGATCATCCTCTGGCATTCTTCCCTGAACAAATTGCTGGTCGCACGCATCGCCACTCGTTCGGGATTGCCTTGTTGGACTGCAAGGATGTGACTGACGTTGGATCATCACTGACAGTCAACAAGAAGCCTCAATTGATTGCATTGCTGACCGTTCGATGAGTTGCTTGTAGCGCTCTGACGTCCCTCCTGGCGCGCGAACCCCTGATTGGATGGGTCGAATGCACATGTCAAAGAAAGTCTGCCAGATTGTGTGAAGATTTGGGGTGCCAGTTCATGCGGATTTCTAGCTCGTCGTGGCAGTTGAATGACTAGGATATCCATTTTGCTGTTGTGGCTTCTCCAGGTGTTCCACCACGTCATCAATCCAGTCTGGTCAGCAAAATTTACCTCAGTACTTCTGGGTTCGTTATAATTTCAGTATAGATTCAGAAGTTTTGACGAACTCGTATTTCGACCATTTCGAAGGCTTATTTTGGCAATTTCGAGGTTGAAGTATCACCAAAATGCCTGTCTGTCAGGCACCAAACGCGCCGAGCACATCAACAGCCCTGCTGCAGGCAGCAGCCTCTCACAGCCGGAACAATGCGGGACCCAGCATAGCATCCACCGCAGCGGCCGATGATCACCCTTCGCCCTTCGGGGCGTTCCCTTCCGTTCCTCCTCTTCCAGTCACGCTTTTCCGTCTCCAGTCTCGCCACCTCTTTTCTCCTCGCCGATCCATCGCATGTTGTCAACGTTAACTCTCGCAATCGCCATCCATCCGTCGCACCAGCATCGCTCGTGCCGGGATTAACATCTTCATCGGCGCTTTCCGCAATTTCCCGCCAGGCATCCTTAAATCACCTACAATCTCGTACGAGCTGGTCTTCAGTGCTCCTCAATCCAACGCTTATTAGAGCATTCCACCCATCGGTACCTGACAGTCAATCCAGTGGCAGGCAAATGGAGGTCGACTCTCGAGCCAATAAGGTTGATCCACGTGGCTACGAGGCTGCTCTAGCAGCGCTCTCTGGATTGATCAATCAGCGTAAGCGCGCCGATGGGTCAAACTGGGGAGATGCCTTCGCCCTCATGCGCTCATACGTTAAGGTTAGTCTAGTGATTCTCTTAGCTAAGGTTGCTTGCAAAGTTGGCGATAAATATCTACTCTAAGATTGACTCCCTCATGACCAGTTACTCTCTGAAGTTTAGAAGTCACCAGCTACTAACGACACCAGATTAGTGTCGGGTCTCTGGTATCATTCCGAGTTAAGAAGGTTCTTCGCAAGGCTATCTCGTCATGATGTGACCGTCTGTTTCCATTCCAGTAAAGAGGTAGTCCGTGGTGTAACATTCCTGCCATCAGCTGTGATCCTTGCTCGTATTGTCGGAATGTTGACTCTCCTTTTATATGCGACTAACTATTGTTGTTCTTGTTGTCAGGTGCTGGATTTGGAGGGACCAATTGACCAGCTCAGCATCATCCACGTGGCAGGCACCAAAGGCAAGGCAAGAAACCAACATTTTGACATGGCACAGCATCACAGCCTGATTCAAATGACATGGCACAGCATGATTCAAATGACATAGCACAGCATGATTTCAATGACATGGCACAGCATGATTCCAACGCGCCCTCCTCTCTCTCCTTCCCTCCTCTCACCCACATCTCCACTTGTTTGACAAAACTCCATGTGCACCATAGCGGAAAGCATGCTGAGGGCCAGAGGCCTCACCACGGGTCGCCAATTGTGCTCCTTCCATCTTTCTCCCTTTCGCCCGTCCCCTCCTCTCAATAACCCCCCTCTCTCCCAGCAGGGGTCCACGTGCGCCATGGCGGAGAGCATGCTGAGGGCCAGTGGCCACACCACGGGGCTCTTCACCTCGCCTCACCTCGTGGACGTCCGAGAGCGCTTCCGCCTCAACGGGTCAGTGATGTGAGGGTTGAGTGGTGATGGGGGAGCGGTGCATGCTGGGTGAGTGGTGAAAAAAATTAAGAGCTTCTTTTGGAGAGCATTTACTTTTACTTTGATGGGTGTACCCTGCTTACCACACCTTGTGGACTTCACGAAGAGGTTCTACCTGAGTGGGTGAGCCATGTGTGGTTTGGGGAACTATGTTAACAAGCCAAAATTTGGGATCTATCATGTGAGACGCTGTGCTGTGCAGCCAGGGAGGGTCAGCTCATACTTCTCTGCTTTCCCTGCCCGACCCTTACCAATCCTCTCGTTGTTCATCCCGTAGGGAGATGGTGCCAGTTGATACGTTTCTGCAGCACTTCTGGTGGTGCTACGACCGCTGCAAGGTGCGAGGCAGGTGCAAGGTGCAAGGCAGTTACACTCTCTCGTTCCCATCGCCCCACTTTCCATCGTCTCCCACCTCGATGCTAGCCCGTATCCGCATCCCGAAACCCCTTTGCCTCATACTCATAAGTGCACCATTTCTCCCCTCATTCCCCTTGCCCCTCCCATTCCCCCGTTCCATTCCCTCCCGCTCCAGGAAGCAGCGTCCTCTCCCTCCTCCCCCATCCCCATGCCGGCCTACTTCCGCTTCCTCACTCTCCTTGCCCTACGTATCTTCACGCACACTCAGGCAAGCCTTTTTCTCTCTCGGCCAACTCACTTTTAGACATGCTGCAATAGCTCTTCCCTCGCTCAGACTGTTCGCCCTGCTCATCGTCTCCCACAGTTGGCTCAATGGGCCGTAAGTTTGCCTCTTGCCAATCAACCCACCTTCTGCTCCTTGTCCTATGTGGCAGGTTGACGTGGCAATTCTGGAGGTTGGAATTGGAGGACGATTCGACGCCACTAACATCGTGAGTGGTCGGTCTCTTTGCTTTCTGAACCATGCACCCACTCTTTCCTTCCCCACACCCGCTTGCGAGCACCCTTCTTCTGCAATGTCGTGACATCACATTCTCTTCCGCTTGGCATCATCTCCTCAAACTTGTCCCTCTTTGTCCCCAAATCCCACCTTTCTTCGTCCCCACCTCCCGCCCTTCTTTGCCCCCATTTCCCGCCCTTCTTTTCGTTCCCATCTCCCTCTACACCTTAAGGTCAAGCGCCCAGCAGTGTGTGGCGTGTCGTCACTGGGATTCGACCACATGGAGCTGCTGGGTGAGTCTGTGTGTGTGGGGCTTAATGTGTGCGGCTGGGGATGAGTCCTACTGTGGTGCAGGGTGTGCCAAGGCCATGTGCCATCAGCCACAATAGCATCCAGCAGTGTGTGGTGTGTCCTCTCTGGGCTTCGACCACATGGAGCTGCTGGGTGAGTCTGTGTGTGTGGGGCTTAATGTGTGCGGCTGGGGATGAGTCCTACTGTGGTGCAGGGTGTGCCAAGGCCATGTGCCATCAGCCACAATAGCATCCAGCAGTGTGTGGTGTGTCCTCTCTGGGCTTCGACCACATGGAGCTGCTGGGTGAGTGGGAGGGGAGGTGTGCTGTGGGGGGTTGGGTGGGGGTAGGCCGGGTGGAGCAATCGACCCCAAGCACTCGGCAGTGTGTGGCGTGTCGTCACTGGGATTCGACCACATGGAGCTGCTGGGTGAGTGGGTGCTGGGTATGGAGCTACAGTCTACCCCTGTCCACTCACACCCACCCCCTTCCACCCCTCACTGTCCCTTTCCATTCACACTCGCCTCCATCCACCCCTCACTACCCCTGTCCACTCACAATCACCCGCTTCCAGTCCTCACTACCCCTGCCCACTTGCACTCACCCCCCTTCCACCCGTCACTACCCCTGCCCACTCATACTCGCCCCCTTCCACCCCTCACTACCCCTGCTCACTCATGCTCGTCCGTGTCTCTGTTTCTGTCCCCTGCTCTGCTGACTCTGCGAAACCTTCAGGAAACACCCTGGCTCTGATAGCTGGCGAGAAGGCTGGGATATTTAAGGTGAGGGGGAGGGAGGTGTGGAGGAGGGGGAGCAGGAACGGGGAGGGGGGAAGGGGAGAGGGACGGGAGGGGGGGCCAAGGGGTGGGAGTGTAGGCTGTGAGAAAGTGGAGAAGGGTAGGGACCAGGGGGTGGGGAAGTTGTGGAAAGCCTTGGGCCCTAGGCAAGAGCAAGGATCAAAAATACGGCTATCGTATTATACGGGGCGTTTTTTTCGATGGTATAATACGTTCGGTTTTCCAAAAAAATTGTCGTTTTTTTGTTGGCCCTTTTTGAGTCAGAATTTTTCCAGAATCTACTGAAATGGCTACAACAAAGACTAGGAAACCGATAACAACCTACAATAAGGAGAAACAGGCATGCTATGGTCCACTAATTCTGCCGCTACCCCTATGCATACCTAGGCAAGTACCGGCCTTTAGCCTATATCTCCTCCTAAGTCCATCCCCACCCCACTATACTCACCCTGCTGCCTTCTATTCTTCTACTCCACCACCTCGTCATCCCCTTCCTCCTCCCTCCCCACTCTAACCGTCATACTCCTCGTCATCCTCTTCCTCCTCCTCCTCCTCCCCACTTGAACCGTCGCTGCAATCCCAGGCATATCGCCCCTTGGGATTCAGGGCAGGCTCTTCCTCCTCCCCACCGCTCTCTTCCGCCTCCTCTTCCTCCTCCGCATCCCCTGCTTTTCCTTTCCCCTTTCCCTTGCATGCACCGTTGCCCTTCCCCCTCTTCTTCCCTTTAGATGACTTACCCGCCTTCCCTTTCCTCTTCTTGCCGATGCTCCCAAATTCCGACCAATCAATGGTGCATTCCTCCTCCACGGGTGCCTCCTCCTCCGCATCCCCTTCCTCCACCTCCACTTCGGCCGGGATGATGGCAGCCCCTTCCCTGAGGGTGCCGTTGCCCAGGTCCTGATAGAGCTTGGAACGCAGGGCTGCCTTTCGATCAAAGGCATCACGGGCCCGCCGGGTGAAGGCGACGAAGGTGACGTCAGTCATCTTCTTCGCCGTGAGGCGGTTCCGGTCGCGCCTCTGCACACGTGCCAGCGCCGACCAGTACCTCTCCACTTCGGAGGAGGTGACTGGCTGTGACGTGGAGCGCCTGCACCTCCCCACCAAACAGGAACCACCATTCCGCCTCCGTCATGCGCCCCGCCTCCACCAAGGTAGTTGCTGCCCAACGGGCATCGTCAGAGCCCAACCTGCCCTCCCCTCGGTGAAACTGAGCCACCTGTGCAGCTAGCGTTATGCGCTGCTGCACATCTCCGCCTCGGGCCTGGATTACCTCATCCACCCCCTTCCTAATTTCCTTGTCATTCCTTACCTCCCCAATGTACTGGTTACGGGGGTTGAGGAGCCAACCGATGGCATGCAGGGGGTTGTGCAGTTGTGCGTCCCACCTCCTGGCAATGATCGCCTTGATGGAGGTGAGGAAAGTGCTCCTGTCCTTAGGCAACAGCAGACCCGTCCGCTTGATGAAGTGTGCGGCTGCTCACAGTGAATAAAGAGCACTAATTAGATAGGAAGCATGAGCGGGTGGGTGGAGAGATTAACAATCAATACCCATCGCGTAATACTTTCAGCCGTCTCACTCACCAGCCGTCTCAGCCACCGCATTAGTCTTCACCGTGGCTTCAAGCATGATGCTGTACAGCTGCCCCATGACTTGAGCCCGTGTGTCGACGGCGCGGAGAACCTCGTAGATGGGAGTCATGAGGCGATGCACGGCCGTCCCACAGTCCCAAAAAACGTCGTCCAAAAGCAGCTTCCTAACCTCCATCCCCTCCTCCGTCCGTGCCACCGCTACATCCTCCCATTCCTCGCTGATTACCATCGCCCTCAACGCGCGCTTCACCTCAAGGAACCTGCCGAGCATGATGACCTGGGTGCCAAATCTCGTTGCACCAGGCCGCACCAACGAGAGCTTGGTAAAAAGCTCACGGAACAAGACCACGGCCGAGGCGGAGCCTTTGATCATCATCACAACCTGATGCACTTGGGAAAGGACGAGTTTCACCGCAGAGATCTTGCCGATGTCGTGCAGCATGAGGTCGAGGCAGTGAGCGGCGCAGTTGGTGAAGAAGATATGGGGATAATCCGCGCTTAGCTTGCTGGCGGCGTTTTTGTTGTTCGAAGCGTTATCCATCACGACTTGGACGACATGCTTCGGCCCCACAGTGGTGATCGCTCCCTGAATAAGCGTTGCCAAGTAGTCCCCGGTTTTTTTTACGGTCTTCGAGTCAACGATGTCGACGATGACGGGTGCGGTGTCATTTTGCGCGATGACACACACAAAACCGCGGGATTTGATGTCCGTCCATCCATCGACGGAGAGCGAGCACCCGCTGGTCTTCCAGCTCTCCTTCACCGGCCGCAGCAGGTCCTCGGAGTCCGCCTTCAGCTTGTCCAGCAATGGGCCGGATACCTTGTATGGGGTTGGGAGGGTGTACGGTTTCGCGTACATGATCACCGCGTCAACGAACGCCTGGATCGATTTCGACTTGCTGACGTTGAAGGCGAGGTCGTTCTCGGCAACTGCAGCAGCCCACAGGTAATCAAGGCGATTATGTGCAACTTGGTCCGTCATATCACGGATATCTCGCTGTCGGGAGCGACGCACGGGCGGCGCCTCCACCGAGGACGTGGAGGCACGGGTTGATCCTCCCGTAGCATTTTCCGTGGTCGAGCGCTCCTGATCGGCTGTCGCCCGCAGCTGCTTAGCGTAGTCCGACTTGCACATCGCAACGTTCTTGTCCCTCTTGTTAGTGCCGAACATGTGCTCGCCTATCCTAGTCGCATTAGCCGTCACAGGATTCTTGCAATGAATGCAGGTAGCACCGACTACGTTGCCTTCGTCATCCTTAATCTTAATGACGTGCTCCCAAAACTGAGAAGCGGGGCGCACCATGGCGTTCCACTAGACTATGCTGAGAAAGCGTGGGTCAGAGATTGTTGTTCTGGGATACGGCAGCGAGAGAGAGGATGTGTCGAATGGGATTTTCCTCCTCCAATATGTATCTCTTTGTACTGCTTTGTCGAGGGGTGTTTGAAGAATGGATGACGTGAGATGGGAGATGGATTGGTGTATTACTATTGGCTGGAATTGTGTCGCGCGCAATTGTGCGAGGCGTCAGGATTGGGGGCGAAAAATAAACCCAGCGCGCGAGTTGTGCTAACGACTCCGCGAAACGGGTACCAAGGTTCAAGGGGTTCGCCAATGGTGTACATTTCCGCGCCTCGGAAATTTGGTGTCGTCGCGATTCGGCGAACTACTCAAACGACTCAGCGAAACGGGTAAGCGCTTTTATACCGTTCGTCAGATGTCAAAATGTCGCGCCACGCCATTTTCCTGACATGCGCGACTCGGGCCAAATTCGAGCGAGACTCACAAGACTTCTCACGAAATCCCCCAAAACGAACTCGACGGGGCTGATTGTTGAAATTCGGTGTACACTTTCTCCGTTCTAAAAATTCGGTCGAAAAAAACGATCGTATTTTTAATCGAAATTTAAAAATAACATTTAACCGTACTAAACCGTTTTAAACGACCGTATAATACGATACCGTATAATACGGCCCTAAAATCAATATTTTGGTCGTATTTTTTATCCTTGGGCAAGAGAGCAAGTGCGTTTTTTCCATCACTCCTCCCAATAGTTTTTTTTTCCCTTTGCCTCAATCTCCCTCTTCCTTCTTGCCTTTCTCCCCTCATGCTTCTCCACGCTCCACACCCCGTGCTCCCCAGGCAGGAGTGCCGGCAGTGACGGCGCCACAGGAGGAGGAGGCAATGGAGGTGCTCAGGCAGCGAGCAGCAGAGCTGCAGGTGGGAGGGTGGGTGTGGGTGTGAACGAGATTGGGTCTGGGTGGGGAGTTTTCGAGGTGGGTCTGGGTCTGGATTGAGGCCATGATGCCTCTCATGCCACTGCACTGCTTCCCTTTTTTTGAGTCGACTCAAAAGCTGGATTGAGGCCATGATGCCTCACATGCCACTGCAATGCTTCCTTCCCTCAGAAAGGCTGTCTGTCCTTTCTACCTTGCACACTCCCACACTCCCACACACCACACACCCACTCAACACACACACACACACACATACCCACATACACACCATCTCGTTCCCGCCCACTGCTCTTCCCCCGCTAGATTCCCCTTAAGGTGGCCAGGCCGTGGCATGAGGTAGCGCCAGGTGTCCGCGTGGGATTGGCGGGCCGGCACCAGCAGGTGAACGCATCGCTGGCCGTCTCTCTCTGCCGCCAGTGGGCCATTCGCAGTGGCAGGGAAGAGGAGGCACGTGCAGTCGATGAGGTGAGGTTCAGTGCGGTGCTGTCAGGTCTGTCAAGTGGTGTGTTGTGTTGCCGGCACCAGCAGGTCAATGCGTTGCTGGCCGATTCTTTCTGCCGCCAGTGGGCCATCCTCGGCGGCCGGGAATAGGCAGAGCACATGCTGTCGATCAGGTGAGGAGTCAGTTCCGTGAAAGACATGTGTTACTGAGACGTCTCAGAAACACTCTTCATTCACCTGGCCGATTCTCTCTGCCGCCAGTGGGCCATCCTCGGCGGCTGGGAGGATGAGGCAGAGAAGATGCTGTCGATGAGGTGAGTTAAGGAGGCACTTCCGATCCCTGGTTCCGATCTCCTTCATTTTCCACAGGCCTTGCATTCGCCACCTGGTTCAAGGACTGCCCGGTAGGACATACTCGTGATATTGCTCCTAATGTTGACGCGCCTAGAAACTACTCTGGTTAGTAGGACATCTGCTCGTGTTGTTGCTCCTCTTTACCTTGGTCTACTTGAATTCACTTCTTGTTTTCCTTGTGTCCGGTTCACCTCCCTCTTCTTGCCTTTACCTCCCGGTTCAGGCCCTGGCTAATAAGACACTGCCACTTGCTTACATCAAAGGGCTAGGGGGTGCCTCCTGGCCGGGCAGGTGCGAAATTCTGCAGGACTGCCCGGCCGAGCCTGGGCAAGCTGGAAGTGCAGGCGGGCAGCTGACATTCTTTTTGGACGGTGCCCATACAGTGGAGAGTATGGAGGTGTGCGGAGAGTGGTTCTCGGAAGCTTCTGGAGATGCAAGAGGGAATGGGAAGGGGGGTGGAGAGGGGGTTGGACGAACGAATGTTGGGGAAGGGGCAGCATCAACAGCAGTAGAAGGAGCAGCAGCAAAAGCATCAGCAGCAGCAGCACCAGCAGCGGGGGTGGTGCAAGGGCCAAGCAAAGTGGAAGCCAAGACGCCTGTGCGGGTAAGGTCTCGCGAAGGGAAGTGTGTGGGGACTGGTTGAGTGGCAGAGTTACCATGCAGAGGGGGGATGATATGCAGAGGCAGAATGATATGCACTCAGTTCACGAGATTTACCTTTCTTGCCCACAGGTTTTCCTGTTCAGCTGCATGTCGTTTGCTCCACGTTCTCTCATGCTGCACTAATCGTGCTTTTCTTCTCTCACTGCCCTGCTCTCACTGCCCTGCTCTCACTGCCCTGCTCTCTCTGCCTTCGCTGCCCTGCTCTCACTGCCCTGCTCTCACTGTGCTGCTCTCACTCCCTGCGCTCATGGTTCATCACAGGTGTTGCTGTTCAACTGCATGCCTGAGCGGGACCCTCACACACTTATGACGCAGCTGCTTAGGACACTTGAGCGCAAAGGTATGTAAGAAAATGCTTAAGTATGTTGGAATAATTCAGTTCCATCTGAAAACACTCATGTGCATAAAAATGGTTAACAGAATTGTAGCAATGATAGAAAACAGCAATCATTGTTTCTCTCTAAGCCTTCTCTTTGCGCTTCTGGCTGGCTGCGTGTGCATGTATCCTTAATCCATTCCGTTTCTTAGTCCACTTCAATTCTTTTCTCATTCTATTTTTTTCCCGTTCTCTTTCTTTTCCCATTCTCTTTCTTCTCTCGTTTCCTTTCTTTTCCCGTGCCCTTCTTTTGCCGATTCCCTTCCTTTTCCCATTCCATGAGTTTGTCATTCCCCTTCCATCACCCATCTATCTTTCCCCTTTCCTTCCTTTGCCCATTCATTCACTGTCAATCTTTCGTCTCCTTCCCCATCCCTTTATCCCCAGGCCTGTCTCTCCATCGAGCCCTCTTTGTCCCCTCCCTCTCATCCTACACCGCCCTCCTCCCCTCTCCATCATCCTCCGCACCTTCCTCGGCTTACCTCCCCTCATCCGACTCCACTGTCTTGGCTCCTAATTTGACGAGCCAAAGCACCAGCTCTGGCACCGATGCTAGTGGCACGAGGCAGAGCAGCAGCCTCGGCCAAAGCAGTCTGGTTTGGCAGCTAGCCATGCAGCAAACATGGGAACAGCTGCAGCAGCAGCCTCTGCATGCTGTTAATTTTGCTGCCGCTGCTTCCGATATTGGAGCTGCTCCTGCTGCTGCTCCTGCTCCTGCTTCTGCTGCTGGTTCAGGTGGCCGTTCAGTTGACTCGATTCCTGCTTCGTTCCTAGTCCCATGTGATTCGAGTCAATCAGTAGCATCGCCAGCATCAGCAACTGAACAACCAGCAGCACAAGGAGCAACACAAGCAGCAGAAATGAAAGAGTTGGAGGATTTATTCTGGCCGTTGATCTCCCAGGGAATGGCGAGTTTGGGACCTTGCAGTGTTGTGCTGCCGTCATTACCAGCTGCCATTGATCTGCTTAGATGGACGGCTAAGATGCATCCATACGTTCATCTGCAGGTGTTAGTGACAGGGTCACTGCACCTGGTGGGTGACGTGTTGCGTGTAGTGAGAAGAGACTAAGTCTGGTTGCAGCTTGTAGTGAGGCGAATTTACTTTGAGATGTTTCAGAACAGCTGTTGGCCACATGTCTGTTAGGAGGTCCATCCAGATTTACTACCCAACTTTCAGTTGCTACATACACATCATTCAGACTGAGAATAAACACCATGCGCATATAAACTGCACTAGGCTTATCCATATCCGGAGTAGTTTTTTATGGCTGCGAGAAGAGAAGCTTTTTGCAAGAGCTTCGTGAGTTGCCTAGGATGACAAAAAAAAAACCAATAGACTTGCTGAAGGGATGGCTTACATGTTATAATTGTAATTGTATGAATTGGCCTATATGTTATAATCTTTTACCGTTCCAGGTTCTCTGTTATGAGTTGTACGAAAGAAAAGTGCGCAGTATTCAATAACGCGGAAGTGATTACAAAGCCTGAGCAAACAACGAGGCCTAGGCAATATATAGCAAAGCTAGTTAGGCCGAGGTCGCGGAGTCGCACGAAGGTTGGGTGCAGGTTTGGGTTTGGGAAACCCGAAGGCGACGCGGAGGACGTTCGGAAGGCGAGGTCGACGAACCGAGCCTGAATTCCGAAGAGTTGGAATTGTACGCGTAAGAGATGCCTCAGTAAGGAATTAGCGAAATTCCTTACACTACCCCCCCCCCCCCCCCTTAAGAAAGGTGGTCAATATCAGGCATGTGTTGGCGGGAAAGATAATCCCGAAATACCGAGTGGCCTTGTAGTGAGTCAACCCACGTGTCATCTTCACTTGTGCGATCCACCCAGCGTAGCTGAAAATCGACGTGTCGTCCAGCAGGGGTCGCACGAATGCGATGATTCAATATCTTCCAAGGCTGAAGTGTCGGGTCTGCCACCGGGCGGACACTTGGCGCTGGGTTGGGTCGAGTGACGTCGGACGGCTGCGGTGCCGCGTAGTGGCGGAGCAAACTGACATGGAAAGCGTCGTGGATCTTCCAGTCGTCCGGTAGTAGAAGTTTCGCTGTGACCGGGGTCAGCATCCGAATGATGCGGAAAGGCCCCACGTAGCGGGGACGCAATTTTGCAGGTTGGGGCAGTTTTAGGTTCTTCGTGTCCAGGAGGACCATCTGCCCGGTACGGAAGGGTAAGTTCCGTCGATGTCGGTCAGCATATCGGCTGGCGACAGTATTAGCCTTCCGGATAAACTCCGCTGCTTTGTCACGCGCTGCTTGAAGTTCCGAAACGAATTGCTGCGACCTTGGTACCGTGTTTTCAGGAGTCGTTGACGAGGGTACCACTGGATCTATCCCGTAATTGAGGTAGAACGGCGACTGATTGGTTGTTGCAGATGGGGCGTTGTTGTACGCAAACTCGAGCATGGGGAGTGAATCTTCCCATTTGGTGATGTCGGGGCAGTTCGTGCGAATCAACTGCTCCATCGTATGGTTTGTCCTCTCTGTCTGTCCGTCGGTTTGCGGGTGGTAGGACGACGAGAACTGCAGGCGGGTACCGTACTGTGCCCACGTCTCCTGCCAGAACTTCGACGTGAATTTCGGATCTCGATCGCTGACGATCGCCGAAGGTAACCCGTGTAGTCGCACGACGGTCGAGATGAAGAGCTTCGCTGTTTCTTCGGCTGTGATCGTCGTGCGGCATGGTGCGAAATGCGCCATTTTCGTTAAGCGATCGACGACGACGAGCACGGAGTCGTTGCCACTTGCGCCAGCTGGTAGTCCCATGACGAAATCCATTGTCACCTGTTGCCACGGTCGTTCGGGTGGCTCGAGGGGCTGCAGTAATCCAGCTGGGCGTTGTCGTGATGACTTTATTGCCTGGCAGGTCGGGCAGGCGGACACGTAGTGCTGCACGTCCGACGCCATGTCGGGCCAATAATAATTTTGCTGCAGCAGCTTAAACGTTTTGTCGACGCCGAAATGCCCGGAGAGATTGGAGTCATGTACTTCCTGCGTCAGCAATTCTCGTAAGGGTCGGTAGGAAGGTACCCAAACTCGGTTAGTACCGACTTTTAGGTAGTAGTTCCCATGCGCTGTGGTGACCCGTTGGTGTTGATTGGTCCTGAAAAACCTGTCGATCTTAAATGGGCGATTAGTACTGCTGCGGTCTGCATCGATAGGCGGGTCAGGGCGTCGGCGATGTTGTTGGCGCCCTTTTTGTACGTGATGGTGTAGCGGAAATTCGACTCGAGGTAATCGAGCCACCGGATTTGTCGTGGGTTGAGTTGTGGTTGGCTGCGCATGTACTGTAATGATTTGTGGTCAGTTCGGATGGTGATATCAGCTCCCATGAGATAGCAGCGCCAGGTACGAAATGCATGCACGATGGCGAGCATTTCTTTGTCGTGTACAGGGTAGTTGCGCTCAGGCGGCTGCATTTTCCTTGACTCGTACGCGATGGGTTGCAGCCCGTTGCCAAAGTCTTGTAGTAGCACAGTGCCGACAGCGAAATCGCTGGCGTCCGTCACGACTTCGAACGGTCGAGATGGATCTGCCAGTCGAAGCACCGGGGGTGAACTCAAAATTTTCTTCAGCTCGTCGAAGGCCAGCTGCTCTCTCTCCCCCCACAAAAATTGCACGCCCTTATGCAGAAGATTGGTTAACGGCCTGGTCACCCCCGCCATATTCGGTACAAAACGGCGGACGTAGTTAACGAAGCCGAGGAAACTCTGCAACTCCGTGATGTTCGTGGGCGGCTTCCACTCCGAAATCGCTTTGACTTTGCGAGGGTCAATCTTAATGCCCTCCCCTGAAACCACGTGCCCCAGGAACTCCAGTTCCGACTGTAAGAACTCACACTTAGAGCCCTTAGTGTCAGAAACAAGAAGTGATTGAACTATGAAACATTGGAGTACAAGTATGAAACCCTAGAGTTGTGTACCCCTTAAAGGCTAACCCACTACAGCCTACACAGCAATAACACATATATAATGTTTAACACTTAGTGATCAGCCGGTTCTACTGCAAGCGCCGGAACACCTCCTCTAAGTCCTGTAAATGTTGCTCCCGAGTCTTGCTGTACACCAGGATGTCGTCCAGGTAAACAATGACTTTTTTGTCCAGCATATCCCGAAACACCCTATTCATGGTGAGCTAGAAGGTCAAAGGCGCGTTCGTCAACCCGAACGGCATCACAGTATATTCATAACTGCCGTAGCGGGTGCGAAACGCAATTTTCGGGCAGTCGTCGACGAACGCGCGAATCTGAAGGTAGTCACCTCGCAAATCGATTTTCGAGAAGAAGCGAGCCCCGCGAAGTTGGTCCAACAGGTCATCCGCTCGCGGGATCGGGTAACGCGACTTGATTGTGACCCGATTCAACGCTCAATAGTCGATGCACATGCGCAGGCCTCCGTCCTTCTTCGGTGTGAACAGTATCGGGGCGGCGTAAGGTGACGTGCTCGGCCGAATAAAACCCTTCGAAAGCATATAATCGAGCTGTTTCCGCAACTCGTCGAGCTCTGGTTGGCTGAGCCGCCACTGTGACCGAACAGTCGGTTTTGCGCCTGGCTCCAGCTCGATCGTGTGGTCTTCAGGTCGCTGAGGTGGCAGCCCGTCAGGCAGGTCATCCGCGAAAATTTCGGGATGCCTCCGAATTATGCTCGCCACGTCGTCCGGTACAGCAGCGCAGAGCGTGTCAATGTCGGCGATTTTCTCGGACGCCACCACCTCGTACACCTGTACGGCGTAGCCTTGCGCTCCACGTTTTATCGCCCTCTTGAGCGTGATCGCGTTGACACGTGTTGTCATCGCCTCTGGCTCCGCCCATTTCGGAAGTGCCACGCGCCCTTTGTTGCACAGCACCGTGATTTCTCCCATCGTCCAATCGATCGTCGGATTGAATCGCTGTAGCCAATCTCGTCCAAGCAGCACCTCCAGCTCCAACAGCGCCAACTCTAGCACCCTCAGAAGTACCAGCGCCAGCAGCACCTCCAGCGCCAACACCCCCAGCTGCTCCAGCTCCAGCAGCTCCAGCTCCAGCAGGACTGTCAGCTTTAGTACCGCCAGCAGCTCCAGAAGTACCTTCAGCAAGACCAACTCCAGTAGCCCCAGCAGCACCCCCAGTTCCAGCAGCTCCAGTGCCGCCAGTACGAGCACCTCCAGGACCAGCAGCAACAGTAGCACCTCCAGCTCCAGCAGCACGGCTCTAGCGCCGAGCAAACCACTTGCGCAGCTCCTGCGGAGAGGGTGGCTCCCGCCTTGACGAAGCACCGCCAGAGGCCACACGAGCAGACCCTGCACCCCCAGGCTCTGCACCCCCAGGCTCCGCACCCCCAGGCTCCGCACCCCTAGGCTCAGCACCCCCAGGCTCCGCACCCCCAGGCTCAGCACCCCCAGACCCGGCACCAGCAGGCTCAGCACCCCTAGCAGCACCAGAGTCAACAGCTACCTCGACAGGCTCGACTGCGTCTACTTGGGACACACCTGACGGGGCAGGACCCTGAGGCGGGAGAGGGTCTACCGGGGGAGGAC